CATAAAAAATTAAAACAATGATCCCTCCATATAACACAGTACTACAATTACATATTTATTATCATGTATTGAAATGCCTAGTACATTTCTAAGTGTATATCAGATAAATTAGTGATAGAGTCCAGATCCAAGAAAAAGATGTATTTGTGTAAGCAAACACACCTAATCACAGACATAATGTTAAAATGGCCATATAACACAGTACTATAATTACATATTTATTATCATGTATTGAAATGCCTAGTACATTTCTAAGTGTATATCAGATAAATTAGTGATAGAGTCCAGATCCAAGAAAAAGATGTATTTGTGTAAGCAAACACACCTAATCACAGACATAATGTTAAAATGGCCATATAACACAGTACTACAATTACATATTTATTATCATGTATTGAAATGCCTAGTACATTTCTAAGTGTATATCAGATAAACTAGTGATAGAGTCCAGATCCAAGAAAAAGATGTATTTGTGTAAGCAAATACACAGTTACAGACATAATGTTAAAATGGAGACAAGAAATTAACTCAATGCCTTTATAATTATCACAGCTAGGAAAACTGAAGTCTAATACATTCAAACTTTCGTGTTATTGTTGTTGTTGTTGTTATTTGCCATAATTCTAGTTTGGTTATTTTTACCAGCAATGAGTCTTAAAATAAATAATATTAGCCTATACTGAAAGTAGGAGCCCTGGTACACAGTGGTAAAAGTGCTCAGCTGCTGACCAAAAGGTCAGCAGTTCGAATCCTCCAGCAACTCTGAGGGAAAAAGATGTGGCAGTCTGCTTCTGCAAAGATTTACAGCCTTGGCAACCCTATCGGGCAGTTCTACTCCATTTTAGAGGGTCACTATGAGTTGGAATCGATTAGATGGCAATGAGTATACTGAAAGTAGGATGGATTATAGTTACCTCACAGACCAATCAGCAGTATGTAGCACCTTCTGTCTTGAAAGCATCTCTTTTTACCTTGACACTCTGGTTTTTCTTTTCTCTCTGGATGCTCTGCTGGGACTTCTTTGCTCAACCAAGTTCTAAGATTTTACTCTCAGCTCTCTCCCTTATTCCCCTCTGCATGTTCTTCCTGGGAATATCATCAACTTTTAAGCTTTTCCATCCTTTATACTAAAAGATTTCTAGTGCCACATTTCTAGCCCAAACTACACTCTACTGTAAATTTCAGAATTAAGTAGCTACCCCATCACTGAAAATCCAAGAGGTCCCAAATGAAATCTCTCCCCTGCTGAAAACTGCTATAGTTCTCATTTGGTTCCTGGCACTCACATCCAGAGGAGTCACCCGAGCCATCTCTCATATGGTTACCAGGCCCTAGCAATTCTTACAGTCATTCCTTCCTTCCATGCCGAAGACAAATGCCTTAGTTTAGTCCCACATCTTCTCCTTACTAACCATTTGCAAGTGTCTCTTAAGTGAATGCTCCAAGGAGCATCCTTCTAAAATGCAAAACAATCATGTTACTTCCTTCCTTAAAAACTTGTCTCGTGACTTCCCTCTGTTTGAGGTTAAAGTTTATACTCCCTTTTATGGCTCCCAAGGCTATGAGCTGGTCTATGCCCATCTCTTCTCTTTCTGATATCACTCAGCACAATCCCCAAAAACAAAATGATAGTAATGAAAATTGTTGGCATCAAATGAATTCCTACTCATAGTGGCCCTATAGGTCAGAGAGTAGAACTACTCCAAAGGGTTTCCAATGCTGTAATCTTTATGGAAGCAGACTGCTACCCATGGAGCAGCTGGTAGGTTCAAACCACTGACCTTTTGGTTAGCAGTCAAGAACTCAACAATTGCACCACCAGGGCTCCTTCCATCCCTGTTACTTACTCTAAACTCCAGTTTACATTCCCACCCAAGCCAACCCAGTGCACTGCTTCATTCATCAGGAACACTGCTCTCCTGATTTTCTCCTATTCCAAGATTCAATCACTTATTGCTTATTCAACAAACACATCTAATCCTTACTATGTGACAGTGCCTGGACTACAGCAATGGCAACAGATGCTGTCTCATCTCATAATCTTCCCAGGAAGGAACATTTGAGTTCATCTGTATTTTGTTACAGCATTCCCTTGTTTCTTCATGACAGGATTATGTCATACTCCACTGTAAAGTAAACTGATTGAGATGTGCTTTCCTCTTTTTGGTGGCAAATCTAGGCATTTAAAATCTTTCTTCTACATTTCCTCTTTCTGAAAATGAACTATCTCCGCCAAAAAAAAAAAAAAAAATGTAATCAGATACTAAAAGTAAAAGCACCTTACCCGCATATCACTCACACCACCCTAACTCAAAGTAAAACTGACTTCTCCTTCTTTTAAGCCCCTCGGGCTTCAGGACTCCTATCAGGGCACCCTACTCCTTCTCTACCTTGCTTTGAGACCCTTCTGGATAGTCTGAGAACCCTGAGGGACAAAAGCAACATCTTTCCATCTGTTTCATGCCCAGTATAGTACAGACCCACAGTAAATGCTTAAAGGTTAAAAGGGCAAAAAAACACTCTTTAAAGGCAATTCACTTTTGACACTAAGCATACATTAGTATAAACTTTTTAAAGAACAATTGAGAAATTTCTATCAAAATTTTTAGAAGACCAACAGTATTTCTAGTAAATGTCCTGCAGAAATCCTAGCAATGAGTATAAACATGCAAGTACAAAGATGTCTATTTCAACTTTAGATACAGTTGCTAAAAATTATAATTAAATGTCAATAGCCATCAGCAGGACCCTAAGTTTAGTGTGGAAGATTCCTCTGCTAATAATTAGGAAAAGGCAGCACACCTATTCATACGGATACAAGTAGGTGGCTATTTAAGTGATGATTGTATTTAGACAGGTAATTAACTTTCAACTGGACTACTGAAATCACCTTTGTCTTTTCTCTGAAGACCAAAATCCTATCCTAACAAAGGACCCTTTATCTTCAGATCCTAAAGGTATGTCCTGAAGACAGCCTTCCATGACTGAAGATGATGCTGATGAGAGAGATGAGGTATCTAGAAGAATGAAAGGCAACCAAGATCTTAGGTCTAACAAACTTGCACAAATGTTCTAAGGAGAAAATATTGATCAGGTCCACGTTTAAGTTGAATTCCTTTCTTTTTAAAAAAGATCCAGAAAGTTTAACCATGTGTTAATGTTGGTGGTTGTTATGCTGTGTGCTGTAAAGTAGATTTTGACTCACAGCAACCCCATGTAACAAAGCAGAACTGCCCCACAGGGTTTTCCTGGCTGTAATCTTTACCAAAGCAGATCACCAGGTCTTCCTCCCATGGAGTTGCTACTGGGTTCGAACTGCCAACCTTTCAATAATTAACCATAGTGTCATAAGGACTCTTTAATGCCCTAAAAAGTATTATTCATATAAAAAAAGAGCCAATATTGAGCTTAATTTCCTCTTAGTTGCAGTTTCCTCACGGATGGAGGGCACTTTGAGAGTTTTGAGACATTTGGATCTAGCAATCCACTTGATTCTAACAACCCACATACTTCCCAGATTTTTTTTTCCCAATCACTGTTCTTAATTCTAAATCTTCCTTTTAAATAGTTACTTAGTCATCCTCATGGAAACATAAAGATCCAAAAAGCCATCATATAGTAGTAACATTTACAGGAGGGGTGACAGGTTAAAATTCTTTTCTGCCACATTAATGTAACTGGTGTTCAATGTTGTTTGGTTCAGTAGTTAATACCCTAATCCTTCCAGGCTGACCTATGGAATCATCCCCAAACTGTACCTGTTCTTTAACAATGGGAAATAAATTCTTCCAAGATCTACCCAGCCTGAGTCATTTCTCCCTCTAGCAATGACCATCTTAGATAAAGATGTTTAAATTCTTTGGGAAATCAACTACCTACAATTTTACAGTGGTGGTGGTTATATGCCGTGGAGTCAGACCTGACTCATAGCGACCCCTCCTTGGGTTTCCAAGGCAGTATCACTAAGGAAGTAGATTGCCCAATCTTCCTTCCCAGGAGTGACTGGTGGGCTTGAACCGCCAGCCTTCTGGTTAGCAGTCAAATGCCTATGCTACCAGAGCTCCTTAGTTTTACAGTTGTTGTTGTTGTTGTTATGTGCCGTCGAGTCAGCCCTGACTCATAGCGACCCCTCCTTGGGTTTCCGAGGCAGTATCACTACGGAAGTAGGATTGCCCAACCTTCCTTCCGAGGAGTGGCTGGTGGGTTTGAACCGCCAGCCTTCTGGTTAGCAGTCAAGTGTCTTAGCCACTATGCTACCAGAGCTCCTAGTTTTACAGTAGTACTTAGTAAACTTGCGACCCAAAGGTCCCAGGCCCTAGTCTCCACCCTCCAAGCCACTTCCACTGTTTAACAGCAGTGGCTCTGTTTTACATCTCTTGGTGACCAAGGTCCTGGATATGGAACAGGAGCTCAACAAGTACATACCTGATTTTGACACATCATAACACTGTAGAACTGGGGGGTTGGGAGGGGGACTTTGGAAACCATCGAAAAATATCACACACGTTTACTTTGGGTAGTAAGCAGCTACAAATGCTTATTTTAAAAAACTAACATTTTTCCTTCTGCACAAATGCTACGGAACTTGGAAGCCAACATGAACCTGCTACGAAGCAACTTCTGGCTGGGCAGAGGGGGCAGCTGCGCCAGAAACACATGCAGCCCCTGCTGGCTCCAGAGGGCGGGTGGAGCGGAGAGACGCAAGCGCCGTGTCCCAGGATTCGACTCCCGAAGCTCCAGTCCCGAGGCCCGCAGCCAGGCCAAGAGGAGAGAACGCGCAGAACTCCGGGTTGAAAGAAGGCGCCCGCAGCCGCCGCGCCGGGGAGGGGGCGCGCGTTTCCTTGACAACGGCGCCTAGGCGCAGCCCTTCCTCCGGGGCCGGGGGAGGGGAGAGGAGCGAGGGGTGTCCCCCGCGCCAAGGCGGTGGCGCGCGGGGGCCCCTCAAACGTAACAGCCGCGGGTCGGCCTTCGGGCCTCGTAGTGCCAAGGCCCGCGCCTACCGTGTATCCCCGCTCCAGGTCACTCTCCTCGTAGCGAAAGGACGGGATGTAGACCTCCATGGCCGCACCAGCCGGCCGGCGGAGGGCGACGGGGGGCGGGCCGACGGCTGCTGTCGCCACTCCGCCCCAGCCGGGATGCCCCACCTCCTCGCGCCCGGCCCTGCCCCGAGGCCGCGTGCCTGTACCCAGACTCCAAGCCGGTGGGTCTACCCCGCCGCCGCCTTGCGGGCGGGCCTGGGGCGAGAGGCTGGGCGCGGGACGCTGCGGTTCTGGGCCTTATGGGAGGCGGCGGCGATCAGCTGGGCTCCAAGGAGGCGGGGCCTGGAAACCTGTGAGTCTGCAAAAAAGGGGTGTGCGTGCCGCCGCGCCGGGCCGTGAGCCGCACCCGGCACTCCCTGCACTCAGGGCACGGGAGGGCGCTTAGTTTGCAATTTGCGAGACACCACACATAACAGATTACAAGAGAACTAGAACAGAAAAGCATGGAACTTCTGGTTTTGTTTCGGAGTTGAATTTTCGTTTTCCCTCCCTGCTGGCCTTAAAAGCAATGACCCGCCCCACAGTTCTTACCGATACTTAACACTGTTTCCCCCAAGAGTCGGCAAGGTCTTGGTCTGAGTTTTCCTTTTAACTTGGGAGTGATACTGTAAACCGAGCCCGAGAGCTTGCCTTCTCTGTGATAAACCCTCTGGCTTCTTGCTTGTAATGTTAAAATGCTGCCTTTAAGTACTTGTAAAGGGCTTTTTAATTATGAGACATAGTTGTTGTTGTTGTTGTTATGTGCCGTCAAGTCGGCCCCGACTCATAGCGACCCCTCCTTGGGTTTCTGAGGCAGTATCACTACGGAAGTAGGATTGCCCAACCTTCCTTCCAAGG